ATATATATATATATATATATATGTGTGTGTGTGTGTGTGTGTCTATTATATATATATATATATATATATATATATTAAAACCTATATACGAATACATGAGAGCCTTTGACTTTCTCCATACCCCCCTTAAAACCCTATATTCCTAAAACCCAAAAACGCAAAAACCTTTCACCTCAATATTAGGTACTTGTTTTATATGCATCATTTCGACCACGCAGGTTACTAGCAAAGGGTTATAAAAACCCATTTAAACCCTAAAACCCTACGACCCTATAACCCTAAAACCTTGCACAACAAGATGAGCTGACAAGTCGGTTCCGTTTTGTTTGGCTGTCTGTCAGACCAATTCACAGAAACGATTACTGGGAACCTACTTCCGAGTGGCGTTTGTGGGCAGCTTATTCGAAGATATCGATGGCGCTGAGTTCGTCTACAAGGTATGTAGGTACTTGCTTGAAAGTACATGTGTGTGTACATATTTATGTACATACATATTCATCTTGAACTTGCGTATCAACGAGCCAGGATATGAAGAATGGTATGAGAAAGTTAAAGCCTTGTGTCCTGTGTATTGGTAAGACATGCTATGTGTATATAGCGTAGTAATAAGTAGTGTACCTGGACACATACGTGAACTTCAAAATATTTATCACCGGAACAGTGCGCGGCGTTACCAAGTGTAGGTAGCTTCAGGGTTTAGGGTTTTGTAGAACACGGGTCAGTGGATTGTGATCTCGAATTGCCAACTCGGCTACAGTGATTGCTCGCAAACCAATAGAAATCACAGTTTTCTAGTCATGGAGAGTTTATTGTTCCACATCTGTGGCGCGTGGTCGTGTGCTTACTAAGTGGTATCTTTAGTAGTCCTCCTACTGATTTGGCTGTCCTATTATTACGGACTAAGTGGTATTTTTAGTAGTCCTCCTACGAATTTAGATGTCCTATTAATACGGACTAAATGGTATTTTTAGTAGTCCTCCTATTAATTTAGATGTCCTATTACGGACTAAGTGGTATTCTTAGTAGTCCTCCTACGAATTTAGATGTCCTATTATTACGGACTAAGTGGTATTCTTAGTAGTCCTTGTACTGATTTAAATGTCCTATTATTACGGACTAAGTGGTATTTTTAGTATTTCTCCTACTAATTTAGATGCCCTAATATTACGGACTAAGTTGTATTTTTAGTAGTCCTCCTACTAGTTTAGATGTCCTATAATTTTCGACGGAGCGTCCATAGTTCAACAAACGTCCCGAGTTGAAGAATCTCTGATGTCGTTTTCATCCTTATGAAGCTGATAGTATACCAACCCGATAGTATCAGTATAGGCGCACTAGCCTGACCCCATCCAGCACATGATACTGCTGCACCTGATGGCATAAATGAAGATGCCTTTATTATAACAGATACTCACAGGTAGTACTCCACGGGGCATTTGAGAGCCCTTGTTGGCGGGTATTAAAAACAGTTTAAGATTAGTCCTGTTCTTTTTGCATCGTCAAGACAAGTCAGCTTAAGATTGGTCCTGTTCTATTTGCATCATCCAGACAAGTCACCTTCAGATTAGTTCTGTTCTATTTGCATCATCAAGGCGAGTCAGCTTAAGACACAACCACAAGCCGGAAAGCAGGCACCAACCCTGTTATTTTTATACCCGAAAGAATAGTCCATATAGCATTTTAAAACACATGTAGGTGTAGATTAACAATGATTTATTCACATCAACAATAACTATTGGTCTTGCGCATGAGAACATCCATCGACATCAAAACCCCTAAACCCTAGAAAATCTGACCCTCATAACTGCACACGCAGGAGCCAACCGTGACCACACTAGCCGAAGTGTCGCTACGACTGAAAGACTTCTACGGCGGAAAGTATGGAGTAGAGAAGGTGCACCTGCTTCAGGATTCAGGGCCGATAAACCACGACACTCTGGATCCCGAACTGGTATGTGTGTGTGCGCGATAGTCACAATCACTTTGTCCTGCAAACCCCTGTGCCACGGGTGTAGGTCTTGGTTTCTAAGGTTTGGAAGATATATCCCGTAAGGCCCGCCGCTCGAGTCACTCACTGTTTCTTTCTATACCTACATACACCCCAATGCAGCTACATGACTGATTCTCTCATATACCTGCATATTACCCTTCGGTCCTATATGTTTGGTTCGCTCACTGTTCTATAAATAGCCGTTACCTACCTCATCTCATTGCAGCTACATGACTGATTCTCTCATACACCTGCATATAACCCTGCAGCCTCTGATTGGTTCGCTCACTGTTCTATAAATAGCCGTGCTGTACCTACCTCCCCTTGCTGCCCTTGCCACAGGCCTATATCCAGGTGACGCATGTGGAGCCCTTCTTCGATGAGACCGAACGCATGAACCGCATCACAGCGTTTGAGCGAGTGGTCAATGTCAATCGATTTGTCTTTGAGGCACCCTACACGCTGACGGGGAAGGTCTGTGTCGGTGTGTGTGTCGGGGTGTATGTGTTTTGTTATTACGTACATACTGATATGTCTTTGAAGCACCCTACATGCTGAAGGGGAAGGTCTGTGTCTGTGTCTGTGTCTGTGTCTGCGTCGGGGTGTATGTGTTTTGTTATTACGTGCCTCCTGGAGGTTTTGTGTGTAGGTGCTGTCGTTTGGTTGTTGGATACAGGAGTTAATTAAGAGAGAGAGAATGTGTGTGTGTGTGTATAGAGGTGCATCTGTGTCTTTTTTATCACGTGTTTGTCGGTGTCTGAGCGGGATGTTATCCACAGTGCCAATCAGTTGATCTGCTCACTACGGGGCATGAACAGTTATGTGAGCCACGGACTCGATGTCGTGCAGCTCTGAAGCACAACTAACACTTCACAGATACCAGTATCACATGAACAGCACAACTAACACTTCACAGTTACAAGTATCACGTGAACAGCACAACTAATACTAAACAGTTACAAGTATCACATGAACAGCACAACTAGCACTTCACAGTTACAAGTATCACATGAACAGCACAGCTAACACTTCACAGTTACAAGTGGTACATGAACACTCGACGCAACTCCTTGCCAACTAATGGAAATCTATTTATGTATTTCCCAATACCGTTTTCATCCCTATATACAGTCTCATGGTACCGTTAAAGAGCAATGCAAGCGAAAAACGATCGTTACTACAGCCAAGCACTTCCCCTACGTACGCAGCCGAATAGCCGTTGTAGCAATCGAAACGGTAGGTAGATACACTATTGCAAATAGCCGTTGTAGCAATCGAAATGGTAGGTAGATACACTATTGTAAATATCTGTTGTAGCAATGGAAACGGTAGGCAGATACACTATTGCAAATAACCGTTGTAGCAATCAAAACGCTAGGTAGATACACTATTGCAAATAGCCGTTGTAGCAATCGAAACGGTAGGTATATACACTATTGCGAACAGCCGTTGTAGTAATCAAAACGGTAGGTATATACACTGTTGCGATTTTTGATGTGTTGTAAGATTAGAAAGTAATAGCGAGCCGTGCAAGGCTAGCGTCCAAATGGATATTTGAAATTCCAGCACGATCACACATGCCCAGTAGAATGGGTTACTTGGGCACGGTTCTATTAATAGATTGATAAACTCATTGGCGCTGATGCCTGATGGTCGTATAAGCCAACTGGTGAGCTCAGCTACGTTATGCTACAACTGTGAATTTAATAGAAACGCTACTGAGCGGTAGGTATCATCGTAAACTTTTTATATGAACCAGCTTACGCTATGCTACAACTGCGAATCTAATAGAAAAGCTTCTGAGTGGTAGGTATCGTCGTAAACTTTTTATATAAACCAAGTTACGTTATGCTACAACTGCGAATCTAATAAAACCGCTTCTGAGTGATAGGTATCATCGTAAACCGTTTATACCACATTCGTCCCTGCATCCATGACAGATATAGACTTACTTATCAATCTTTGTAGTGCGCGTGTTTACTCATAGCGAGCTACACCAGTTCTGGCGTACGTTACCGTATGAATCTCTACTGGTTTGTGTTGGTTGCTGTATGCGAACGTTTATAGCTGTGGCGGATAGCAAAATAACCTGAAGAGTGTCCCGAAGTCAGACTCGTTTTTGTTTTTTTTGTTTGACTGTGGTTAGGGGGGGGGAAGGGGGGTTGCTTGACTTTGGTTTATGTTTATAGTCGTTGTATTGTACACTTAATGTGCTTTTCTGGTGCAAATGATTGTGAGCAGCTAAGCCTTAAACCTCAAACTCCGTCAACGTATGGGTATGGGTTTTGAACCTAGACAGGAACGCTTTAAACAAACGTACTTTATCAATCACGAGCATATCCGAACGCTATCAGGCTTGTCTTCATTGCTCGGCCATTACTTTCCCTCCCTACGTGTTCTATTTTTAGATCAACCTCACCCCTGTGGACGTTGCGATAGAGGCCATCAAGCGCAAGACCGAAGAGCTTAATGCCGTGGTTAGCAGCAAGAACATTAAAATGCTTCAGCTGGTGCTTAGTGGCGCCGTTAGTGCTACGGTCAACGAAGGTTCGTGCTTTGTGTGAGTGTGAGTGTGTGTTAGTCCAGTTTGTGTGGCAAGAACATTAAAATGCTTCAGCTGGTGCTTATTGGCGCCGTTAGTGCTACGGTCAACGAAGGTGCGTGCTTCGTGCTTCGTGTGAGTGTGTGTTTGTCTAGTTTGTGTGCGTGCTTCGTGCGAGTGTAAGTGTGTGTTTGTCTAGTTTGTGTGCGTACTGTGTGTGCTTCGTGTGAGTATGAGTGTGTGTTGGTCCAGTTTGTGTGCGTGTGGCGAGTGTGTGTGCACTCGGTTGGACATGGTATCCAGAGTAGGGCTTCTAGTAGACCATGTAGATGAACTATCCATCACCTTGATACTTGAGGGTTGGAGCTAAAAGTGCCTGAGCTCTAAGCTTGATTCAGTAGTCGTTCGTAGACAACCATGCTACATCCAATGTATGAACCCACTATATTCAGTATATATTTATTCGTTGCCTACTACCTTGAACTGGGTGGAATAAATACCTTATTTGGAATATATGTACCTTGTTTAGAATATCCTTTCCTTTTTTGGAATAGACCTCATGACCCCACATACTCTACAAAGAGTCGCTAGGTGCACCCCCACAATCATTCATAACTCATAGGCAGTTGTAGTACCTCTAGTTATACAACATATTAAGAATAAATAGTACACATATTACGCTGCATACTACCTTTAATTGTTGTGTAGTAGTTTCCAACATAATAACCATACTGTGCACAGGTCCGCTGGGCATGGCGCAAGCTTTCATTCCTATAGGCGACCATTCGTCGATGGCGGAGAAGAAGCGTAAGAACATTAAGTTGCTGCAAGAAGCCTTTGCGTTGTTCCTGCAAGCGTGCGGTCTGGCCGTGGACCTCAATACACAGGTGAGTGCGTATGACATTGTGAGTTTAGGGTTTAGGGTTTTCCAAAAACAAGCCCCCCCCCCCCTAAAACCCTAAACCCCCTAAATTGAGTGTCAATCGGTTGTGTGAGTGCTCACTGCTCAAGCGGTTGACGTAGAGTTGTCATTGTAGGGTGTGGTTGTTATGGGCTATTCAGGAGGGTGTGTTGCTATCTCTCTAGTCGCGCAAATTCCGATACAAGTGTACGGCTGAGTGAATCAACCGCTAGATGTGGAGCCTGGGTGGTAGGTAGTTTTTTAGGGTTTAGGGGTTGGTTTTTTAGCGTTTAGGGTGTGAGTGTGAACAGATGAACAGGTTCCAGATTTAGGTATTACGTGCTCCTGTGCAGTACGGACACGGGTGCGTGGTAGAGTGAATGTGTAATTTAATTAATGGGGTGCTGGGTGAGATCGGATGATCACGTGGTTGAATGAGGTAGACAAGTACATTGGTTAGCGTGAGGATAGATGGGTGAAGGATGGTGACTTGCAATCTCAGATACACCAGTATCGTGTGTATATACTGAGTGGGGGGTGAGTGGTATTCGTAGGCATACACGGTTGCAGACATCGTACAGTTCTGCATATAGGCGAGTAGGATGTATAGCAGTTCGGTATTACCTCGAATTCTTTTAATCTATATGTACAACCAAAGATGTAGTTGTAATTCAGTACAGTTCTGCATATAGGCTAGTAGGATGTATAGCAGTTCGGTATTACCTCGAAGTCTTCCAATCTATATGTACAACAGATGTAGTTGTAATTGTCGGTACAGTTCTGCATTTAGGCTAGTATGATATATAGCAGTTCGGAACTACCTGGAATTCATCTAATTTATATGTACAACCAAATATAGGCTAGTAGGATGTATAGCAGTTCGGAACTATCTGAAAATTCTTGTAATTTATACGTACAACTAAAGATGTAGTTGTTGTTGTGTGTATAATTTTGAGTTCTCATAGGAATTGAATGATCTGAGCAGTTTCTAACGCGGGTACGCCCGATATTGCTATCAAAATCGGGTTTGTTTTAAGTGTCATAGGTTATAGGTTGTGAGGGTTTTAAGGTTTAGGTTTAAGGTTAAGTTCGATTGACTAGATGTTTGACACCGTTGGTCTGGAACACATGTCCTCTCTGTTTCGTAACAGAGTGCCAGTGCCATCCGTATCGAACAATTTAGAAATCGGCTTTGGCGAATTTTATCAACTCAATTCTCATCAGTTGTAGAAAACGACGTACAACCCTTATTTTGCATACTTATACAATGTGGACCACAGAATATATGCACCTTACTACGATTACAGCAATTCGTTCTGTCTGGCCTGGTGTAAGCCTGTATCTGATGTATCACTATCCCGTATCTTTAATATGCTTGTACTATCCCGTATCTTTAGTATGCTTGTCCTGTCCCGTATCTTTAATATGCTTGAACTGTTCCGTATCTTTAGTATTTTTGAACTGTCCCAGTTATGCACCAGTAGCGTATACCAGCTACTAATGCAATATTCATTCTGCGATCTGGCATCTTTCTCTACCTAACTACAGGCGTATTTGTTTACGCTTACATCAGTATCAATTACTTACCTAAATCTATACTTAACCATCCTACACCATACTCCCAGATGTGTCTCGAAGACCAACAAGAATATGCCCAGAACTTGGATGAAAAGTACACAGCCATGCTGGCAGATTTCCGGCCCTACCTGAAAGAGCAACAGATGCCTATAATCCGCCGAAAGTATGGGAAAATTTACTTCTCCACCTATCAGTTGCTAGATATTTTTTATGCATTTATGACACTTCATTTCCTGGCTTCGTGCCGAATTCTGCTTCTCACTTTGATATGTACATGTGGGGATACAGGGTGTTGAAAAGATTTCTTTGCTTGATATTTTGTCTTTGCACTTATATTTCTACCCACAAAATGCGAATCACCACATTCTCACCAATAATACGTGCGGTACAGGATGGCGACGCTGCATAATAATTCGCTCTCTGTCCGGACACTATCCGCCAGTGCAACGATATCGACAAATGGATTAGTCTGAAGAATGACGGAAGAGGATTGTACTTAGACACAATAAGACGCGACACGGGAACTGTTTCAATTGTATCTTTGCGGCAATCAAAAATATAGAACATATTGTACGGACTCCGATGGTATTGAGAAGTGATTGTTTTCTTTTAAATAGAAAATAGATATGATTTACGAAACAGGAGTGATCAGCTTCTCTCGTAGAAAATCAACCGGACAATTAAATTGATAAGACATAAATCTTATCACAGAGCCTTGTGCAACAGCCCTTGTACCTCAGGTGATTCGACATTGCTGTCTTACAATGGTCATATTGACCTTCGTGTCTTTTGACCCGAAAGTCCCATACTGATTATCTGGCCTGATTTAACTATACATCTATCCATTGATGATCTCAGAAACAGAAGAGTCTCAATCTGCTCTGGTGACGCTGAATGATTGCTTGTTCCTCAACCACGCGCTCCATTACCTTGATTCGAGAATGCTCTGAGCTACACCCTTACACTTTCGACTTGCTTGCTGAAGATTTCACTTGGTATTGGCACGCCTAAAGGTCTTGGACATATTGAGTTCTTAGTCAAAATCTACGTGACTGTGTCCGGCAAAGTAAGATAGGCAGACGTATACCTAGAGGTCAGTCAAAGTCAGTACTTCCGACTATCGGGGTGTAACAATAGCTGATGGTAGGGTGCGGCTATGGCGCACGTAGACATATGACTGCATTTCGCGAATGTTCGGATAACGCTCGCCGATAGCAACGCCTATGGGATTACATATAGCCGACCATTGTTGTGAATATAATTGATAGTTATGCGGCAAATTCTTAGCACGTGTTGGTATTTTATTAGGGCTACTCTATACAATGCGCGCAAATCATTGCAGATTTAGATGAATACCGCAGATCATCCAGTACATCTGGGTGTCTACAGCCACGGAAGTAGCACATTCTTCGCCTGCATGTATACAGTTTTCTTTCTCTATCTTTTCTCGAATGACGGTGACAGGCGATGTAATAGTAGGCGAATCAAATATACCTGATATAGATAATGTATGCAGTATCACAAATACATGCAAAATATGCAGAATCGGTAAAAGTGACAGCCCCAACTTCTAATCATACCATAAAAGTGACAGAAATTAAGTGCACGTGTATATATATCTTCGATGATCTGATATACCTCGTGGTATGCTTTATTACGACTTAAATTAACATGGCTGGCTAGAACGAAACTCCTGCAATATCATAACGATGGCGTTAGTCATATCTCGCCTCCGGTCTGGAGATGCTCGATTGATGTGCTTATTTACATACTGCAAAGACTGTTCATGGATTAACATCTCGCAGAGTTTGAACCTCATAAACTCGGTATAAATACCCATCAATGACGACACCTGTTCCAGAAGCATCGGAGACCGGTCATACACATCCTTGGAGTAGGTTTCGCCCTCCGTACATATTGTCTCAGAAAAGGTTACTTTGAGGCTGACACGAGTTATTCTTGGCAGCTCCAACAGTTTTGACCATTTTCGCTTTGTTTGTAAGGCGTTCGATGAGGCATGCGATGGTGTGCTGAGTTTGGGCGGCAAAGAGCACGCGCGGACCGCTTGAGAGTGGTCGGCCACTATCTCACTCGTAGCAACGAGGTAGTTTGGGGTTAGTTTTCGGCTAGTTGTATCGGTTGGATCTTCAAGTTGCTGTGCACGTATAGTGTTGTCGACAGATATTTTGAACTCTGGCTGTGAAGTGCAGTTCTTATCAGCGGCAAGATATCGGTCAATGATGGTTGTATCAATTACACTCGCCGACGGTACACTATATTGGTGTGACAGTTTCATTCGCCTAATTATTTTATTCAGCAATCCCATTGTGTTGTGCCTGCTCTTTTTGTTTTATAAGTCTAATAAAGTTCTTGTGTAAATAAAATTTTGTGTGGATATGTGAGTGATATATATATATATATATATATGTAAACCCATAGCTGTAAATACCTTTTAAAGTGTGTACATAAAACAAGGCAAAACAAAATCGGAAAAGCCAACAATCTCGTTTTCCGGTATTTTTATAAAACATTCGAGAAGCTTCTCCAAATATTTATTTACTCTCTCTCGCTCTCTTATCTCTCTCTACTACTACTGTTGTTGTTTTTTTAAAGTAGTGGGAGAGAGAGGCTAGTAGACTCTCTCTACTACTAGAGAGAGAGAGTAAATAGTAGTCTATTTAGAAGCAGAACTCTAATAGACTGAAATTAATAAATAATTTATTGGATACATAGAGAGAGGGGGGGAGGGGAGAGACTGAGAGTGAGAGAGAGGCAATTGTACATTTGCTGTTTACTACTATCTTAGTAGATGGGTTTTGTTCTATAAAAAAAAACATCTACAACTGATTTGATAGTAAATATAAACTGACCGAAGAGGGGTATGGATTGATTGGATTCGAATAATTTCGAAGCTGGAAACTCAAACAAGCGCTTATCGAACTGTCTTATTTTATCTCCCACCTTTAGTTATTCTTACTTTTTTTTGTACACCCTCCCACCAGGACTCCAGGACCCAGGGCCAGGATGCCATGTGACCAGGACACCAACCCACGTCCCACACGTCACACGCTCGAGAGAGAGTCCACGACTCCAAGACCCATGTACCATGGGCAACGGACAGGAGCCATAGGACAAAGGACTTTTACTGTTGTTTTGTAGAAACAATTAAAAAAGTGAAGCACTTTCAACAAGGTCGACACTCGACACTCGACAGTCGAGTGTCGACACGGGGGTCCACAGGCCCACAGCGCACAGACTACGGAGTCCACTCCATAGTCCCAGCTTCCCAGGAGTCCCAGAGTCCCAGCTGCCTCATAGAATCATACACTCATACTCTCTCTACTAGCTTATCTCTCTCTGGAGATAGAGAGCTCTCTACTCTCTACTTGAGAGAAAGAGTAATATTAGAGAAAGAGAGACTGAGAGAGAGTAGTAGACAATAGAGATTAGAGAGAGAGCAGAAAATGATCCAATGTGCAAAGGGTTTATACCTTATTCATATTCGCAAAGAAAACGCTTCATTTTATAAAGTATCAATAATGGTATCAATGATTGCAGACGAAGTATAGAGAGTACATACCAACATAAGATTTAACTCCATAGAGAGTGTGGGGTTGTGGGGTGTGTGAGACTGTGAGCTCAAGAGTCTCATACTCTCAATTTTTAGCGATCTCATTCGCTATTAATATCTCTCAATATCCGTCCACGCAGTCCGACACTCCGGCTCCGTATGCTCATTTGGTTTTAGGTGGCCTGTTTTTAGATCGGGAATTCTGATCGCCCCAAAAATATTAATATAATAATATCGAGAAGGAAGAACTTTTGTGATAGACATATTTTTAATCCAAAAAAAGATACCCCTACTTTTTTTAACCTTTTTCTGTGATTTCTTATTTCAGTGATTTCACCCTCACAACAAGGCCTCAATACGCAGAATCGAAAATGTTTTTTGTTAAAAGAAACTTATCTTTATAAAATGACTACAATATAATATGTAACGAATCTCGTATAATTATTAACACCCGAGCCGTGTCCAAAACCGCATCCGGGTCCATTCGCAAAGGTAGGGTCCATATTTATGGGACCGCTCCAAATACACCTCGGTCCATAAAATGGACCGGGGTACATCACTGACGGTTACGATTTCATACAGTGGATTTTGAAATCATCGTACAAGTGGATTATAGTATACCTTGATATTAGACACGTACAAATGGGTTATTGTATGCTTTGATATCAGAACACGTACAAGTGGGTTATAATATGCCTTGGTGTGGAACTAAGGATGAGAGAAACATATTGTAGTATTCCTTGATATTAGTGTGTAACTGCGGACGAGTGAAACTTAACAAAAAAAATTGTATGTGTATGTCTATTTAATTTCGAGATAGTAGGCCCATCTTGGTCCTTTCCTGGCAGTCCATGATAAACATAGCCTGATTAGGGCTTGAAGATGTCGGCAACGTGGTAAGTACGCGATATGGTCCTATGTATCTATATGTCTATGTATCTATCTATCTATGCATTTATATCTATGAATCTATTTGTGTATGTATGTATGTATGTATCTATCTATGTCTCTATGTAACTATGTATGTATCCATGCCTGCTTGCCTGCCTGCTTGCCTGCCTTTACCTACTATATAATGTATGTATGTAAGTACGTATCTATCTATTTATTTATGTATCTACGTATTTATCTATCTATGTATGCATGCGTGCGTCCATGCATATTTGCAAGAACGCACCCATGCTTGCATGCATTATTGCCTGCCTGCCTGTCTGCCTGCCTGCCTGTCTGAATCCCTGCCTGTCTGACTCCCTGCCTGCCTGCCTGCCTGCTTGCTTGCATGCCTGCTTGCATTCCTTTGCCTGCTATATATAATTATGTATCTATCTATCTATCTATGCATGCGTGCGTCCATGCATATTTGCAAGAACGCACTGCCTGCCTGTTCGCCTGCTTGCCTCCTTGCATGCCTTTGCCTCCTATATAATGTATGTATGTAAGTATACATCTATCTATTTATCTATGTATCTATGTATGTATCTATCAATCTATGCATCCGTGCGTCCATTCATATTTACATGAACGCATGCATGCAGGTTTGCAGGCTTGCATGCAGGCTTGCATGCATGGCTTGCAGGCTTGCTTGCATGTTTGTTTGCATGCATGCATAAATGACTGCATGCCCACGTGCCTGCTTGCCTGCGTGTATACCTGCTCGCCTGCAATATAAAATAAATATGTAAGTATGTATCCATCCATGTATCTATATATATATATATATATATAATGCTTGCTTGCTTGCATGCTTGCATGCTTGCATGCCTGCTCACCTGCTATGTTATGTACATATGTAAGTATGTTTCTATCCATGTATCTATAAATATATATATATATATATATATACGCACACACACACACATATATGTATATATGTATATATATATAATGCTTGCGTGCCTGCTTGCCTGCTTGCCTGCATGCCTGCATGTATGCCTGCTCGCCTGCTATATTATGTACATATGTAAGTATGTATCTGTCCATATATATATATATATATATATATATATATAGTGCCATCCTTAGCCACAGCAATCGTACACAGCTGCTTATACCCCGTGTCTGTACTCATAGCCTTAGCTGTCGTTAAGCAGACCAGAAGCGATCTCTTTCTTCACACGGCCGATCCACATGCCGCAAAAACGCCATAGCCAGATGTCGAGCTAGCGAATCCCCTATGACTCAGGTATCGTCGAGGATGTTGTCGGTAGCATTCTTGAGCAAGTTATTTGACTTAAACGTGCATCCGTCACTATTTATATTCGAAGTATATATTTATAGTAGGTTGATATTCATGTTTATATATATATATTTAAAATTGTATATTTATTTTTATGTTCAAGAAAATGTATATATATATATATTTATCCGCCTTCTCGTACCGTTTACTACAGAATTATATCCCAGGCGGCGATCTCTTTCTTCGACTCAGTTGTACGAAGAGCGTCACCAGACTAAGAAGGAGATGAAATACCCGAATGACGTGCTAGGTGGACAGTAGAGACGTCGAATTTGGATCCGATGGCGTGTGATGTGTAGAATGCAGGGGTGGTGATGTTCACCATGCTGACCGGAAGGTGTGTAATAGTGCCCAATTATATACAAAGTATCTGTAACCCGCGAGAAGGTGTCTTCGTCGTCGTTGCTTGGCCGGGTTGTGATATCCGTGTAATATATATACATATATTTGTATATATATATATGTATGTATGTAAGTATGTATATGTCTATACATATATATATACATATGTATATGTATATACATATATATAAATATGTAGATGTATATAGATATATATATATAAATGTGTGTGTATATATATATATAGTACACCACTTATACATATATATGTGCTTTATAATACTTAGGTACCCGCCAACGTATGTGGCTGTTGCTTATTGCGTGTACATTTATTTGTATTGCTGCATATTGTGCGTTTGATGCTTAGTCCCCGATGCACAAGGTACTATTCTGATGTACATATTTATATATATATATTGTATTGATATAATACACCACTTATACATTTATTTATGCTTTATAATACTTACGTACTCGCCAACGTACGTGTCTGTTGCTTATTGTGTGTACATTGTTTATTTGTATTGCTCCGGTGAACTGACCCCAAGTATATTACTGTATGTGCTGTATATAACACGCTTTGCTGAGATAAATTAAGGTTGTTCATGGTTTGATAAACTAGATCGGTAGCTATGAGACAATGGTGACGATAATGTATGTCAATGTAATGATCTATCTTGAAATGTTATAGAGAATCGCAATATATGCTTACTCTATCTTGCATTTGCTACTCCTTTATTGCAGGTTCTTCGAGGACAGTCAATAAACCAATAAACAGTTCAATCAATTCAATCAACTCAAACAAGCGTTTATTTACTTATTGGTCTGGTCTAGGTCAGGTAGCGAGGCTATCAGTATAGCATGATTCTGTTTGTTTGTTTTTGCTTGGTCCCTTTGTTTTGCTAGTTTCTTCATGGAATGCACGTGTTCGTTTGTGGCAACCCTTCCCCCTTTTCTCTGGTAGTTGATTGAGACCCTTTTCTTCATCCAACAACTTAGCCAACATCATCTGTTCCATCTCAATATAAGTAAGTATCTACATCGCTGCACTTCTCTAGGCATGCCTTAATCTGCTTCATCACTCCATCGCACCGCACATATGTTGAAGCATTCTTGTGTAATGAGCTCAAGTTCGTGGTACTACGGATATTGTTAAATTGTGTCAGCATGCCTGCGGTTACTTCCGGAAAAGACCATTGTGTACTGCCCGAATGAGTGTCCACATCTTCA